ACCCGTGGGGATTACAATTGAGATGAAAAAAAAAATGTGCAAAATGATGTAAAAATAAACTTTTTAATAAAAAAAAATAAATAAAAAAATAAAAGTCCGGGCCCTCCCTGGTGGCACAGCGGGTTAAAGCACTGCACTAAGAAGCTTAAGGCCATTTCCGCATGAGTTCGATCCCCGCCTTCCCTGGAAGAGATCCATATGGTGTGGCAGACCTCTCCTGACCAACCTGCTGCTCCCCTCAGCAGTGTACTTCGTCGATCTGCCTGTTCTGCTCCCCACTCTGTCTCTGGTAGAGCCTCTCGCCGCCCCTGAGCCTCTGGCCTGTACCCCAGTTCTGTATGAACAAATAAATAAATCTTTAAAAAAAAAAATCAATTGTATGTCTATGCCCTAGCAGAGAATACTCTGAAAAGAAATTTTCCAAGATGATTGGGTTTATAAAAACATCAAAAAGTAAAAATACTTATGAATAAATTTAACAAAGACGTGCAAGATTTGTTCCCTTCAAACAAAACACAGTTGAATGAAATTTAAAAACTAGAGACATACTCCACATTCATGCTCAGAACTCATAACACTGATAAGATGACAATATTTCTCAAGATGATGAAGAGGTTTGACATACCCCTATCAAAAAACTGGTTCAACGTTCAAAAGTAAGTTCATATAATCCATTATATAAATAAGCAAAAAAAAGTTTCCAATCATACCAACAAAGAAAAAGCACCTAGTAATAATCCAACACCCATCTGATAAAACCCCTTATCAAAGTAGGAATAAAGGGGAAATTCCTCAATGCAATAAACACTTATAAAGTTATCATTAGACTTAACAGTGAGAAACTAGATGCCTTTCTACTAAGATCAAGAGTAAGACAAGGACAGTCCCCTCTTATTATTCCTATTCAACTCTATAATGGAAATCCTAGCTAGTAAGATAAGACAAGAAATACAAATTGGAAAGGAAGAAATAAAACTGTCTTTGTTCACAGATGACACGATCATCTATATAGAAAATTTCAAAGCATAAACAAAAAACAAACAAACAAAACACCTCTTGAAATTTACAAGCAATGATAGCAAGTGTGGAAGAGATAAAGTTAATACATAAAAGCCACTTCTGGCCCTCCCTGGTGGCGCAGCGGGTTAAAGCACAGCACTGAGAATCTAAAACCGCTTCCGCATGAGTTCAATTCCCGCCTGCCCTGGAGGTGACCACATGGCGTGGCAGACCTCTCCTGACCCACCCGCTGCTCCCCTCAGCAGTGTACTTCGTCGATCTGCCTGTTCTGTTCCCCACTCTGTCTCTGGTGAAGCCTCTCGCCGCCCCTGAGCTTCTGGCCTGTACCCCAGTTCTGTATGTACAAATAAATAAATCTTTTTTTTTAAAAAAAAAAAAAAAGCCACTTCCAATCCTTTAGTGGAATGGAATGATCAATTAAGAAATGGTATTTGAAATGAACACTCTATCATCTATATTAGCACCAAAATAAATAATTAAACAATTAGATAATACATCTAACAAAATATACAAGGATACAGATGAGGAAAATTACAAAGCTCTGATGAGAGCAACCAAAGATCTAAATTAACAACCATTCATGCCCATGGATAAGAAGACTCAACACTATCAAGATGCCAGTTCTACGCAACCTGACCTACTGATTTAACACACTCAACATCCTACCAAATTACTTTATGGATACTGAGCAACTGATTCTAAAATTCACATGAGGAGGCAAAAAGTCTAGAACAGCCTCTGCAATATTGAAGGAGAAGAACAATGTCAGAGTATTAATGTGACCTGACAAAGAGTTATTATAAGTTACAATAAGCAAGACAATGTGGTACTAGTGAAAAGATCAGACCAACAGATCTATGCAAGAGAGCAGAGAGCCCAGAAACAGATCCACACAAATATAATCAATTCATCTTTGACAAAGGAGCAAAGGGCACTCAGTGAAGAAAGAAGATGATTTTAACAAATGGTGCCGAATAACTAGGCTTTCACAGATAAAAAGTGAATCGAAACAATGACCTTACACTTTACCAAAAAAAATGAGCCCAAAAGAGATCATAGGCCTAAACCTAAAATGTAAACCTACAATACTCCAAGAAGATTAAAACGGGGGAAAACCTAAATGACCTCATGTTAGCACTGACTTTTTCAAAAAACACCAACAGTCTATGAAAGAAGTAATTGGTAAGTTGGCCTTCATTAAAATTAAAGACATCTATTATGGCAAAGACAGCAAATATCAAAAGACAAGTCACAGAGAAGGTAAAAAATGCTTACAAGAGATTTGTCTGATGAAGAACTGGTATCCAAACTACACAAAGAACTCTAAAAACACAATAATTACAAATGAGCAATTCGATGTTTTAAAAAGGGTTAAAGATCAAAACAGACACCTCTCCAAAGAAGATAAACAGATGATAAACAAGGACAGAGAAGAGCCTCAACATTCTACATCACCAGGGAACTGAAAATAAAAAGAGCAATGAGATGCCACGGCACACATATTAGAATGGCTAAAATCCAAAACACTGACATACCAAATGCTGGGGAGGATGTGAGGAAACAGAAACTCTCATTCACTGGTGACAGGAATGCAAAATGATACAGTTTGGAGACAGTCTGGCAGATTCTTACAAAACTAAATATATTCTTACCATAGAATCCAGCACTCATGCTCCTTGATAGCTACCCAAGTGAATTAAAAACTTAAGTCCACACCAAAAGCCTGCCTATGAATATTTACAGCCGCTTTATTCATAACTGTCAAAACTTGGAAGCAACCAACATGCCCTCCAATAAGTGAATGAATACACTGTGGTGCAAACACACAATAAAACAATTATTCAGTGTTAAAAAGAAATGAGCTATCAACATGGGCCACCGAAGCCATGGAGGAACCTTACATGCATATTGCAAAGTGTAAGAAACCAATCTGAAAGGCGACATGCAGTATGGCTCCAACCATATGCATTCTGGAAAAGGTAAGACTTGGGAAACCGTGGGGAAAAAGCAACGATTCAAAGATGAAGAATTCAAGGGAAGTCAGAACACGGGATTTTTAGGGCAGTGAAAATATTCTGTATGATATTGTAATGGGGGCTGTGCCAAGCCCACACAACCACACTAGAAGAATGACCCTAACACACACTACAGGTGCTAGGGAATGATGCCATTGTTACCAATGATGCCAATGATACCAATGTTAGTGCATTGACTGCGAGGAGACCACACTACTGCAAGAAATTAACAAGAGAGACACCTGTAGCTGAGGGTCCTCACTCTAGTCTCACTTGTTTCTGCTCATTGAGGCTGTTCTGAGTAGCCTCTATGGTTTAGGGCATATTTGCGCCTCCTATAAGGGAGAAAAGGAAGGAGGAGAAGGAAAGGAGAACATCTATGCACAGAAGGCTGTCACTCTGTACTGTTCACTGATTCTTGCACCAATCTCTCAAATAACTGAGAATGACTATTTAGGGCTGTCTCAAAACACTCTCTGGAATGAACCAACAACTTTCGTTCCCATTTGACCCGATCAAGTTGCTCTGTCACATACCAACCTGATTTTGCTTATGCTCTGGTCTGTCTCAGGCGTTCAGAGGAGCTTTCGTTTATGGATTTTCCATCCAGCAAATGCTTCTGTTCCACAGCTGGGTAGATCCGACCCCAGCATGCTTGGCTACAGCCCACAGCAGTGTCCTGGGGCACAAACAACCTGCAAGGCAAAAACCAGGACCGTGACAAGGATGCAGACCCGCAACTGTTCCCTCCAAGAAACTTGCAAAATACCCCCAACAGCTTCCAAGTGTTTACAAATCATTAATGAACAGAAATAGCAGCTTATAAGGTGTCCCAAAGACAAGTCTGAGCTATTCTGAGAGGAGGGTTGAAGTATTTAATCATTACTGAAAAGGTTTGGGCAAATGATTATGCCCTGTTTGTGGAAAATTTAAAAGCCAGATGTTTTAATTAACCACAGAAAAAGACGAGCTACAACTGAAATTTCATGAACACACTGATCTGCCCTGTGGAAAACCACAGGAATGTTCTGGCAAGGCTCAGTCTGAATTCTTGGGACACAGAGGCCTGGAATCATTCCCCCCAGGAACTTGAACAGAAAATTAACTTGCTCAATATGTTTTAAAAAGTAAAATGAAACCCAGATTTAATCTCAATCAAATATAAAACATTTCAGGACTTCAAAGGGTACCACCAAAAGACCCTAAAGGGGAGGACCATAGAAAATTCCAATGTGGTAGAAAATCTAGAAGATATTTTCAACACAAAGCGAATGGTGTAATGTAAAATTTTATAGGCTAAATAATCTAAGGGGCAAAACCAATCATCTATCATTTCCTAACAGAAAATGATACATGAAGCCAAAAATCAGTAAGTGAATCATACATGTTACCAAATGTATAATACATTCAGAAAAAAGTATCTCTGAGCTAATCTATTTTGTGCCAAACCTATGGCCTGGCCCATACTAGCTACTTGTCAGGCTTCCGCCTGAGGAATCACAGGATCCAGAAAAAGTGTAAAAATGCCTTGTTCTCCCTGGGGGTGAGGCTAGCAATGTGTCATAGAAAACTCAAATTAGGAAATCTTACAAAATCATTAGTGAGCAATTAAGAAATAACAGATTATGAAGTTGTTCACTGAAGTAGTAGTGATGACAAAATCTATACATGCTAAATATTAAAAGAAGGAATAAGACAAATGCTATTTTCAGAGACTACGTCCACAGCTCTATTTCTATTCAGTTAAAACAGACCCCACCACACGTGTGCCAACCATAGTATTAACCTCTATCTTCACTTAAAACTAGTCTCAAAGTCCATCTCCAAAGGAACACAGCAAGAAGAAAGCAAGACAGCAGATAACAGATGCAAGGTACAATTCCAATTTTGTTCTATAAGCTAAGTGTGTATAATCTAAAGACACTGACTATGATAATAGCTATTTCTGGGTCATGGGATTAAGAGCTATTTGTATTGTCTTCTTGCTTTCCAACTTTTTTACAATGAATATATATTTCTTACACAAGTAGGGTCCCTTTAATTGAGGTTTATATTAAATAATATGGGGATACAAATCAAACATGGGATGCCTATATTATATTAACCTGATCTATGGTTTTCCTCTTACGTGAACAATAAGAGCTAATAAATGGAGGAATTTTTATTTATCTGAACTCAGTAATTTTAAATTACGAAGTTCAAAACCCAAGTGTCCAGTAACACTTCCAGGACTTAACAACAGTATTTTCCTAGCAGTGAGAAATTTTTATTTGTTGTTCTGCAAGCTTACCACAGAAAGAGTTATCCCGCTCCTTTAGCTAACAGACATAAACTTCTCTATCACTGGAGGCACCATAAAATGCCATTTTATTCAAGAGAGCACCTCCTTGTTTTACAATTTCTCAGTATCAAGGTCTTTGGTGAACATAACCACACTCACTTTCCAATACTCTTAGCATCTCAAAAAACACAATAGCAGAACTGGAACACTGAGGGCCTCAGTAATCCCTCACTCTGAGATGCCCTCAGTTTACAAGTGAGGAAACTGCTGCCGAGAGGGTCAACTCTCTTTCCCAGAACCACAGAGCCTGCAAGGCAGGTCACCTGCCTCTACTCCAACCATGTGCTCCTTCCACTGACAATGGCCCAGCACGCATGCTTCCAAACCCAAGTTTATAGGAACCACAGACATATTAAATTCATACCAGCAAAACCAGAAGAACAGGCATAAATTTGTTCCACAAAAAATGAAATGTGTGCAGGAAAACAAGCAGCGCCTCAACCACAGACATGGTGCAGCCCAGAAGACGCCCACCTGAAGAGACAATGGAGGCAGGTGTCCTGAACAAGGCTGCCTATCACACCGAAAGCTCCCGGCCTGTGCTCACCCCGATTACAGGACATCCCCAATGTGCAATGCAGAGCTAAAGGTTTACAACTAGGTAATACCATGCTCCCGTGGTGCCACCTGCAAAAAATAGGAAGGACACCCCCAACACTGGAAATAAGTGGTTTTGACACCAAGTGCTTTCTAAATGACCCAAGTCTTAGGGGACAGGCAACAGTGGTTTCAAAAATGAAGAAAACAGCTGTCACTAACAAGCAAAATAAGATAATCCCAATGCTTCGTACCTGATGCCTGAGATAGCAAGATCTTGCTTTTCAGTGGAAATACGGCTCCCGGCCAAGTCTCTCTTAGCTGCTACCTACAGTGGGCACACCACACCAATTCCACCTAAGATGCTTGCAAAATGCGAACTCCTGCAAAGCCCGGGAGAGAGCGGGACAGATGGCAATGACAAATGCAGAAGGCTCCCTGAAAGCCCTGTTTTGAGCCCAGTCACCCTCTCCCTACTGTGCAACAGGACAACAAAGGCCTCAGCTGTGTGGTTGCTCATAAAAAAGCCCCATCGAGGGATGATGTGATCGCTCTATAACAGCCAGAAGAAACACGATGGCTCTGTACCACCTCAGCTGAGAAGTCAGGCACCTGGCAAAAAAAGGGAACTGTTCTTTCACCATCCAAAACCACTCCTAAGGTCTCTTCCCTCGCTCCCCGACATATTTCCATGGCTGGGTTCTGGAAGGAATACAAGGTTGGCAAATCATTTCCTTCTCTGCCTGTTTTAACACTAACATCTAATGTCCACAGTGGGCAAAAGGAATTAGGTTCTTGATGCTATTTCATGAGGAAATGAAAAGCTATGTGCTGAGTATTGTTCAAGTAGCCCTCTGAAGTCATTACCGCTCAAGGTAATGAGAGGAAGTTTAATTTTAGCCATCTGGTAGAGTGAACTCTGACCTACTAAATCAAATGGGATAAAATCTGCTGAAGTCACCAACTAATCTTTCTCATGAGAAGGCCAATTAGAAATTAGAATGAGACCAGATTCGCAGGTCCTGAAACCCTTTCTTACTTGGCACCTGCTGACTCTCCGTTGATCTTTAACTTCAGTGAAAGCCTTTGGCCAGATGTGTAGGAGACAGTGTGATGACTAAGAATCGTAGATGTTTCGTTCCTTTATTTTTCTATTTTAAAGTCACAAGGAAGTATCAGTCCAGCCCATGCAACACTTCTAAAAGTTCCATTTCAAGGCCCTCCCTGGTGGCGCAGCGGGTTAAAGCACTGCACTGAGAATCTGAAGCCGCTTCCGCATGAGTTCGATCCCCGCCTGCCCCGGAGGTGACCACATGGCGTGGCAGACCTCTCCTGACCCGCCCGCTGCTCCCCTCAGCAGTGTACTTCGTCGATCTGCCTGTTCTGCTCCCCACTCTGTCCTTGGTGAATCCTCTCACCCTCCACGTCTCTGGCCTGTACCCCAGTTCTGTATGCACGAATAAATAAATCTTTTAAAAAAAAAAGTTCCATTTCAAAATAACCAGAGGACAAGGGAAAATGACACTGGAGTACATTCCCTTCATGCCCTTGGGGACTTTATTTTAAAAACTTAAATTCACAGTATTGATAAATTTGCATATCACATTTTTGAGAGAGAAGAGTAAAAATTATTTGCAATAATGACTCTATAGACTTTTTTGTTTTTTAAAGAATCAATAGAATCAATAGATTGCCCATCACAGCCAACCAAAAAGCAGCTGTAGAGAATAATCCTAATTGGTACCCAGCAAAAGGGGCAGCAAGCGATAAAGACATAAAGTAGTTTGGAAAAGGTCCTACCATCCTCTCAAGAAAAGAGGATTTCAATGGGGGGAGAGGCAGAAAGAATAAATTTATACTTTTTTATAAAGACTTCTTTATTTATGCTTACAGAGCTGTGGTACAGGCCAGAGGTGCAGGGGTGGTGAGAGGATTCCCCAGAGACAGAGTGGGGAGCAGAGCAGGCAGATCAATGAAGTACACTGCTGAGGGGAGCAGCGGACAAGACAGGAGACGTCTGCCTGGCCACTTGGTCACCTCCAGAGCCGAATATCAAACACGCACTGAAGCGGCTGCGGCCAGCTTGCAGTGATGCATCCTAATCTGTTGCGCCACCAGAGCGGGCCTACATTTATACCTTTTAATGTCATTAAAGCCTTTCTAGAAAGAACAAGGGTTGCAGAAATTGGCATATTTACAATTCTGGTCCCAGCTCTGCTACTTTTGACCAGGGACTTCCTAGGATAACTATTCTCTTTAACCTTTGTTTTATCACTCATACAACTGGGACGGAACCATCAGCCACCTGCATGGAACGGTCACTGATGAAAGCAAATATGAAAGCATTGCAGAAATTCAGTATGCGCTATGGATTCATTCAACAAATATTTACTAAGAAAATGCAATGCCGCCTGATATGCCAATATGGACCCACAATAAGCAAGAAAGCCTGTCCCTTTCTGCAGGGGTACAAAGTCTGATCTGAGAGCAGTCCAGGGCGAGGCGAACATAAAAGCAGCCTCGAGTGCCAGTGCCAAATAGCAGGTGCTGTTAGTGCTACAAGCTCATGAGGACATTTCTGAGTGAAAAGCAGGTTTTAGCTTTGGTGGTCTAATTGTTACCTCTTCCTCTAGTACATTCTTAATGAACACCCCCTACATGTCAGACACTAATCTAGGTGCCGGGGATTTAGCACAGAGCAAAGTTCTGTCCAAACAGGGCTGACATTTCTATCATTCTTACCTGTATGTAAAATACATAAGCTAAACAGATTAGAGCATCAAGACTGCTTTTGCTGAAATAGAATCATTTTCTTAA